GGAGAACCCTGAACTGGCGCTGAAGGACTGTGAGGCAGTATTAATAAGGAGCTGCTGAAATCTGTTTTCTCTTTTTGACCTATATCTAAAAACAGTGCTACCTATGTATAGCCACAATATTTTCTTGAGAACATAAGGAACAAAGGAATCCTAACAAGATTTGCCAGTTACCAGATGGAAGTGGTGGAGTTGGCAACAGTCCAGAAAAGGCAGAAGGATACTGAATATTTTTAATTCTGTATTTTAGGGCATCATCTGCTGTTTCTCTTATCACACAGCAATGATGAGACATGTTCCAGCCAACAGTAGCTCAGGAGAAGGATAAACAGCTGCTACTATCCTGAGATATTTTTTGCAGTCAGAGCTGGGTAGTTTGCATCCAAGAGCTCTGCAGTGACCAAGAAGCAAACTGTGACCTACCAATGTGGATATTTTCAAAAAAACCTTGGGATAATAGGGCACTCCCAGAGGAGGTCAGAAAACCGATTCTGATCTGAAAAGAAAAAAGTGCCCTGCCTACCTCTCTTCAAGACGGGCTGTGTCTACATGTGCGCTCCTCCTGTGGGTGCGCTCAAACCACACGCTCACCCACAGAATTCTTGGCCGCGTTGCCGGAGGTGCATGAAAGCCCGCTGTCTCCACACAGCATGCACAAGGCTACAGAGAGGCAGCCCCCCTCTGTACTTCCGAACCCGCAGTCCCTGGGAGTCCACGGGGTACCTTGAGGGAGCAGGAGAACTGCAAGGTGTGAGTGCACAAGTGAACAGTTCATCTGAGAAAGTAGATAAGAACCCAAAGGAGAAGCAAGGATTGCCTACAAGCACACCCACGTTGTAGGCAACACGGAGCAGTCTTCTCCACAAATATTTACCTGGAAGAGGGTCCTGAAATCCCTAGCTTAACAGAGGAGGAGGGGTCTCCTTCCCAAAGGCAGTCTTGGATCAAGAGGCCTCTGCAGCAGCACACGGATTTGTGAGTACAGACAGAGCCTCTGCACTGTGAGAGGCACTCTGCAGGGAAGCCCTGGCATCTTCTGAGCTCCAGGAGAAGAAGTCCCATCAGCAGCTCTGCCTCCCCAGGGAAGTCTCTTGCAGTCAGCTGCCCCGTGAGAATCTCTGCACTGGTTCTGATGACCCCTTGGGCTGCTCTCCCATGGACAGGAGCAGTCAGGTCACCTGGAGCAGTCCCTGACCCCTGGAAGTACAGGGCTCAGGGAGGGACAGGCAGGTTAGTGCTTCAACAGAGGGGAGGTCCCTATGCAGTCTCAGGACAGCACTCCAGGGGGTTAAGGAGCATCCTTATGTCTTGGAGCCTTTCCACAAGTATACGGGTGCCAAGATGCAAACAATGGAAAGAGAGCCCAGTTCTCTTGTGGCAGAGACAGCCCAAGATGTAGCAGTGGGAGGAGTAAGTGGCTCTGCAGACAACGCACACACTCAGTCCCACTGCATTACCCGCTGAAAGGAATCACGTGCCCAAACAGCCAAACATCCATCTCCAGGTGGCAGAAGCTTGGTCTAGTTGTCTCAGAAGCTCCAGGACCAAGTCACACTGATGCTGCCCAAGGTGGTCCTCTCAGCCAAAGCACACCCGGACACCACCAGGCAGAATGGCTGTAAAAGATCTACCAAATGCAAGATGAAAAACTTAAGGTGGGAGTGTTTGCTCAAAATCCAAGTCAAGTACTTCAATTGAAAAAAATAAAATAAAAAAAAAAAAAAAAAGGAAAGAAACATCTCTAGACCAATTTTCTTCCTTTGATAAGCAAATAGGACCAGAAATTTTGGTGGAGACTCTCAGGGCTGTGAAGGGGCCAGAAAAGACTGTTCATGTGCTGAGGAGTCCCGATGCGTGGTAAGAAATGCTTCTACCTACTATCATGATCTGGCCCTGATGCAGGGGTTTCTTGTAAGTTAGAAGCTACGACCCATACCCTTATTGCACTCTCCATTCTCAGCCTGAACATGAACAAAATCATTCAGCTACTCTATGTTTAGGATTGTTTTTCAGTCTCCACCTCTCCACAACAGCAGAAAATCACTCTGGCAACTCCTTCTCCCTGAGACGCCAAGACTCAAGTTGCCATGACTGTGTTTGGTGAGATGCTCATTTACTGCCACAACATAATCTTCCAGGAGGACCCTCAAAGAGACAGAAGGCTGAAGCACAGAAGAGCCTCCAATGTTGAACAACAGGGAGATGATGTTGGCCAGCAGCAGCCTGGCAAGCTGAGATTAACAGGCTGTCTCCAAGGGAACTGCACTGGGAAAGGCAGAATGGAAAAAGGGAGGTTGGAGGGAAAACCTGCTTAACAGCTCTCTGGTGCATCCACAGATAGCAGGTCTGGTGTGCCGATAAACTCAGAAACGCAGTGCTAGTGGGCGCACTGGCACTCCACAAGGGCTGCTACTGCTGAAAGGAGCTGACAGCACCACCGCACTGCCATCCCAGAAGCTGGAATAAAGGCAGGAGCTCAGATTTGCCAAGACACAGTAACTTCATGTACAGAAGTATAGGAAGCTTGGCAGAAGGTACAGACCAGCCAAACGTGCGTTCAATCCTCCACCAGTCTAGATCTCTCCAGGGAAGCCAGGAAGAGTAACCCAGCAGGCACGCAGCAGTGCCTCTGGTGCAGAGGGAAGCCCAGAGAGTCAGATATGAGGGCACAGAATCTTGCTGAAGTCACGCAGAAGTAATTGAGTGCTGCCAAGCAATCACACGTTACCCGTAAGCGCCAAAAATATAAGCTACCTGACATTGATGAATACAGAAACTTTTTGCTGAAAGATTTCCTCAACTCAAAGAGCTCTTAGTAACAGATTTGCTTCAGTCTTCCTTGCTTTGTTGGGCTGCAGCAGGATTAGAGGAGGTGGCTTGACAGGGCAAGTCAACGCCCCTCATAAATGTGGTATTTTTCATCAGCCATCTGGAAGAGGCAAAGTCCGCCTTCCTGCACCCCTGTCAATCACACAAGCCAGCTCCAGAACCACAGTGTTGTTACAGTAATTTGAGATCCATTTGATCCATCCCTCCCCAAGGCAGCTGAACAAACTCCTAAGTCTAAACAACTTAACGTTATTGGACGCTTGTGGCATAAAGGCAGAGGGACAACAGGCCCAGAAAAACAGGCCATTCCCAGCATGGCAAAAGGATAGCGACATCAAGGAGGAAGACAGGAGCAGCAATAGATTAGAGAGGATTCAGAGTGCTCCTGGGGTGCTGTCTCTGCTGGACAGGGACTGTTCGAAGCCTGGCACTTAGGCACTGCTAATGCATTAGCCCAGGCTCAGGCTTGCCTGACAGCAGCAAACATCAACATAACGCTCCTGGGTCTCCTAAGAAACAGGAGAGCCTTAGGCAAAAGGTCTTCACCAGAGCCTGCGAACAGGAAGGCTAGAGATGGGGAGGGCTCCTGCACAAAGTCTTCCCTTTTTCTCTTCCTGCATAAGCTTGGCATAAAGGAAGACGCCTGCCCATTTCCAAACAAACAACATTAAGCCGCTGGAGGTGTGAGACCCCAGGAGCTCCCTATGACCTTCATCTACCAGTGTACCACGAGCACGGAGGGCAGATGAGTTCGAGAAATCAGCTCGGGCTATCGTGAAGAAGCTGCTGCCAGTGCATTGGAGGAAGGAGACGCTGCAGGGACAAGGTCACACCTGCTCCAAGGTTCCCTTAGAAACTGACAGACCTGAACTCAGAACTGCTAGGAACTCACAACCTAGGGATGAGGTACAATGGACTTCAGACACCGGCACAAATCTCTCCCTGGTGCACGCATCATACCACATCATATCACAGAATCACAGCATCGTTTAGGTTGGAAGGGACCTCTGGAGATCATCTAGTCCAACCTCCCTGCTCAAGCAGGGTCACCTAGAGCATCTGGCAAGGCACATAATCTGCTTTTTCGCCATCACTGTGACCTGCCTTTGGGGCCTGCACTCTGACAGGGAAGAGTCATGCTCTCTTGCACAGACAGGAACCTGAGGAGAAGAAGGCAGCACGCTTGCTATGCAGAAGGTGCACAGCTTGTGTGTGGCCCTGAGGTTAACGTTCACACCTACACACGAGCACTGGTAGCCAGCCGCACAGCACGAGCAGCCAGACACTAGAGAACAGAGCTGCTTAGGTCAGCAGCCCCTCTCTGTTTTACAACCCAGTGACAAAAATACACACAGAAGCTGCAAGCTTCTGTGTTAAGTTCCAATGCTAGGACACTAAACCAGCTGGCACCTCCTAATGGCCTCCAGGCTTGCTAACTCACCTCAAAGGGAGTAACACATGCAACAGCAGTAACAAGGAATGTGTTAGTAGTCCCATGGGATGTGGTTCTTGACCCCACGCTAATGCTACTATCACTTGGAAGAAAACAGAGCATCTATGTGGAATGAAAGGATCAAGCGACAGGCAAAGCCAGGGAGGCAACAGGGCAGCAGTCTGGACCCCCTCTGTAAGCTGGGTCTAAAATCAAGCGCCTCAGGAGACAGGCAGCAGCGGCACACGACCCTGCACCACTAGCTTCCAGACCTGTGCTCCAGCTAGGGAGGAACTGCCAGGGTCCTCGGGGCATGGGAAAAGCCCGCCTGTGGACCAAAGGCCACCCCAGAATTGGAGATTTACAGAACGGGTGAGGTTGGAAGGGACCTCTGGAGATCATCTAGTCCAAACTCCCTGCTCAAACAGGGTCCCCTACAGCAGCACGACAGCATGTTGCCCAGGACTGCATCCAGACGGCTTTGGAATATCTCCAAGGAGGGAGACTCCACAACCTCTCCGGGGTTGTCCTTCCCAGGGCAGACGTGCCAAGGTCTTATTGCAAAAATTGACACTAGACTGGAGCCAGCTCTGTTCAGCAGTTCTGCTCCAAGGAAACACCTTCATCTGAAGCCCTGAAGGCAGGGGATGGGAAACCTCACAGCAGCTGGTAGTGTGGTCCTGCAACCACTGTCCACCTATAAGGGACACTCAGGAAATCCCCAAAGGAGGCAAGGACATACCTGATGATGGTGTGCATGCCTCGCACCTGTGGCGTGTTCTCCAAGACGCTCAGTGTCTTCGGCAGGGGCTGCCCCTGGTGGGCAGAGGCCAGGGCTGCCCTGCAACAAGACAGCAGTGAGCAGAGCTGCACAGTGCAGGCACATGGCAGCTCCCATGGCTGGGCTCCCACAGGCCCCCTGACTGCCTTCTTCTGAGAAGAAAAGCATCTCCTGGAGAACCAGATGCACAGGCCAGACATGAGGAAGAGCTTGGCCTTCACTGCCCATCCCCAAGAGGGCTTCATATTTAGTGCCAGATACTAAACCGAAAGTCAGCACCAGTCCATAAAACTGGAGCAAACCTCTCCCCACCCACAAATCCAGCTTTCAGCCAGCCTCTGTACAAACAAGCTTTTGCCAGCATCTGGGAAGCGGGAGAGGCAGCTCTGCACAGACAAGACAGGATAGGATACCCTGGGACAAGTCTGCCCACATCGCGTGGGGGTACGGGAACTGCCCCACCGAGGTTGCCTGCACGATGTCCTAGAGAACAGGCAAGACTTTCCAGGGCACTTCTCCCATACAAGGGAGCAGCCTAGGGCACTCTAGCATTCAGGGCAGGAACCACGGTCCAAGAAGGAGCAGGAGCAGCACAGGGAGCCAGTCACACGAGTCAGACATAGCTGTGCAGGGGCCTTCCACCACAGCCGGTTAACCCCAACCAAGCTGCATGCATGGCAGCCACCTCCAAAGTCAAGGAAGAGCAGCTCTGCTCACATGTCCCACCAAAGCTTCAGCCAGCAGGGACAGAGAAGAGGCAGGACTCAGAAGAGCAGGTACTAGCAGCCATCCACCCCCCAGCCCAGGAACCTGCCGCTCTCCAGCTGACAGGGTCTCCATCATACCTGACAGTGATTTCACGCTGGGTGGCACAGCAGAATCATTCAGTGTGGCAAAACGGGAAAGAAAGAAAGAACATCCAGTCACTGCACTAGCCAGGTAGAGCCTCCAAAAGGCAGTCCAGATCCAGCTCCCACCCCTTCTCCTGAGGCTGAACTGAAAACAAGAAACTGCGGCTGGGCACACACAGGAGGCAAGGCTGGACTACTGGGGTGCAGTAAGGGATGAGGTTAGCGAGGACAAGTGAGATCACAACGAGCTGGCTTTGGGAGCAAGGGGGACAGCAGGTGAACAAGGCCAGGCGAGAGTGCAAATGCCATGAGTCACGGGCAGGGACAGGTGCTGCGCCCAGCCCTGTCTCCATTTCCCCAGCCCCTACATCCCAGCTCAGTCTGCCCCGAGAGGTGGGCTAAGGCCTTTTGCAAAGGGGGAGGCGACACTGAGAGTCCCTGGAGGTTCCAGGACCGTGAGGCTAAGGCAGCTGTGAGCAGCCCCATCCTCCCTTCTGCGTGCAGGGTCCTCCTCCTCCTCCTCCTCACCCAAGCTGGCATCAGTCAAGCCTGCACCTCACCTTCTCCAGCTGGCTGTGCACATGTTGCACAATGAGGTCCAGAGCCACAAAGTTTTCCCCACCTGACAGGGGAGCAAAGAAGCCAAGTCAGATGTATGTTGATCCAATCCTGTCCCAGGGCCTACAGGCCATTCACTCCTGATACATAGGTCAGATCTAGTAAACGCAGTGCAGTCTCACCCCTGGGCACCACGATGTCAGCAACCTGCACGGTGGGCTCAATGTACTGCTCGAAGGCTGGCTTCACGAACTTGTTGTACTGCTTGATGACGCCCACAATATCTCGCCCGCGCTCCATGATGTCGCGTTGCAGCCGCCGCACCAGTCGGATGTCAGAGTCCGTATCCACAAACACTTTCATGTCCAGGAGCTGGAAAACTGGAAGGGGTGAGCACCTCCCTATCCAGCTTCCCACTTGCATCCCAGGGCCCTCTTAGACCCTGCCTCACTCCCCACCCAAAGCTCAGCCAGATCTGACCCCGTACAGTGACGGCATCCAGCACCGCCTCCACCGAAAGCTCTGACATGCAGGTGCTCTGTCAGCAAACGGAGGGATGAGCTCTTCCTCCAAAGAGGCCCAGCCATCTCCCTGCCCCCAAGCAGCACTGAGGGCTGGGCCAGGACATGATCCGTCCCGTGTACGGCACCCCACTGCAGCCTCCTCCCACACCTCGCACGGAAGAGAGCCCAAGACCAGCCGCATCAGGCAACAATACCTTCAGCAACTCCTTGTTAGCAAAAGCCAGAATCCCTTCAAACACAATGACGTTGGCCCCGTACACTGTTTTCTGTGGGCAGATAAGAGTTATACCTGTGCTGCTCCCTCATCGCACAGCAGCAACACGCTCAGTCCAGACAACACCTCAGCCCCTGACTCACACTGAGCTCTAACCACCAGTGAGCAACACCCCCCGCCTAGCTGACCTATGCTCCCCAACATTTAAAGGCCTCTGTTCTCACCCCTGCTCTCTATCCCCCAACCCCAATAGAGCCTGGCTTGTTCTAGACCTCCCCAGGCCCCCTCGAGCCCCTGTCCCTGTCCTTCCTGCACACTCAGCTCTATGCCGCAGCGCCTCCCTGAGCTCTGTGCCAGGCCCTCTTCCCCCTGCCCGCAGCCGCACACTTCCCTGCCCCTGCAGCCCTGAGTCCCCCACACCAACCCCTTCCGCACCACCGCCCTTTGCCCCCCCCAGTACTGCACGAGCGTTCCTCCTGGCCCCCCGCTGCTCCCCATAGGGCAGCACACCCCACTGCTCCCCTCTCATGGGGCAGGGTACCCCTGCTGATCACTCCCACTTCTCCCCACAGGGCAGCACATCCCCACTGCTCCCCCCCAACAGAGCAGGGCACCCCTGCT